AATAACTGCATAACATTAGATTTAACTTCCGACTGTTTACGTTGGCGCGACTCGACCGGCGTCACGTGTGGCTTCCTTCGGGCCACCGAGGAGCGCCGTCGAGGCGAGGCGCGGCCCGGCCCCGCTCGCTCCCCGCGCTCGGCCTTTGTGCCGCTCCCGGCCCCATCTCCTCTCCTCTCCCCTCCTCTCCTTGCGGCTCGGAGCGAAGAGCCGCCAGCGGCCCCCGGCCCTTTCTCGCACGCCGCCGTTCGAACGCGGCGCTTCCCTCCCCGCCCCCACCGCCGTGAACGCCGCAGCCACGGGGCCGCCCCGCCCCAGGGCGCTGCCCCCTCTCGGACGGGGCCGGGGGGAGGGGAACGGCGGGGGAGGGGGCGTTCCGGGAGGCTCGAGCGCGGCACGAGCGCGGCCGGCGCGGGGCATTGTGGGTAGGCGAGCGGCCGGCGGCGGAGGAAGCGGCGGGAGGAGGGGAGGGGTCAAAGGTCAGCGGCCGCCGGCCCCAATGGCGGGCGGCGCCTCCGCGGGCGGGCGGGACCGGGCCGCGCCGCCCTCTCCGCTGCCCGGTTCCTCGGCGGCGCGTCGGGGCGCCGAGGCGCGGGACGGGACCGGGCCGCGCGGGGTTCGGGCCGCCTTTGTTCCCGGGGCTCGGCGCGGCGGCGCCTTTACCTTCCGCGCCCCCGTCGGCTCCGCGCCGCCGTCCGCCGTGAGGTGGCCGCGGGGTCGGGAGGGCCGCGGGCCGCTCCTGGGCGCTTCTCGCGCCGTGCGGCGTCAGGCGGAGCCACCCCGGTGCGGGGCTGCGAGCCGCCCGAAGGAGGGAAGGAAGGAAGGAGGGAGGGAGAGCGAGCGGCGGGGCTCCGCGCCGAGTCCGCACGAGTGGGCGCCGCGCCGCGGAGCGCGCCTCGTAAAGGTTAAACGCGGCGAATCTCGGCTCGGACGGGGTGAGCCGAGCCCCCGACGGGCGCGGAGCCGGCCCTGCACGGAGCTGCAAACACAAACAAATAAGCGCATCCCGCAGAAACATCGGTCGGGAAGTTTAAAGGGAAACGGCCCCCGGGCGGAACCCGGCGGCTGGATGCGGAACCTCGCCGTGTTACGGTGCCCCTTCCTCGCACAACGGCCACTGTGCCTCGCTGTGCTTGGTTTCGTTCTGGTTTGTTGGTGGTTTGTTTTTGTTTTGTTTTTTTTCTTCCCCGAACGCCGGGCAGACCCCGCTCTGCGTTCCCCGCGCATCCCAGTGGTGGCCCCAGGGCACCGCCCCCCCCCCCCCTCCACCCCCAAACCTCGCTTTAATCTGATTACGATGGGATCTGCTGATACCGTGAATATTTGAGATGATCGCGGGCTCTCGGGGAGCGGGGGGTTCTGTGCTCCCCCCCGCAGCGGCACCCCCTGAGCAGCTGGAAAATGAATGCAGAGGTGCCCCCCCGGTGCGGCCGTTCTATTTCCTAGGGCCGCGTTGCGACCACGGGGTAAATAAATAAGGAATGACGGGGAGGGGAGGAAGGAGGCAGGAAGAGGGGCTTTTCTTTCATAGCCTTTGATTGGAATCGAAGCACTTTAGGGCTGTAAACATTCTGTATTTATCCAGCACACATCAGCGGGCGTTGTTTTATCACCGCCGTAATGACGGTGTCCTTTGGGCTGAGTGATGGCAGCGATAAGGGACGCGCCCGGCCCGACTTGGCGCGGTGCGCGGCGGTGGGAGACCGCGGCCCGCCCGTCCTCACGACCCGGGCTGAGCGGGGCCACATCGCCGATTTGGGGCTGCCCAAAACCTCGGATTCCCTCCGCTTCGGGGCTGCGGCGCGGGTTGGGGACGCAGATTCCCGGTGCAGAAATTCAGAGCGATCACCTCCGTGCGGGACGGGCCCCCGTTTCCCAGCGCTCGGTGCTGTACCTTTGCCTAATTAAAAATGCAAACTTTTGGGAGCCTTTCCGAACAAAGCCGCGCCAAATCCCCTTTACGTCCAAGGATTTGCAAATTTATAAAGGCTGCATTGAATTCAGCGTGGGTCAAGGGGCAAAAAAAGGGTAGGAGGTCACCGCGTTTTGATTATGGGTCAGTAAACAACATGGCATGGAGTATGCGGCCAGAAACTCCTGCGGAAAGTGTCCTAAAGCTGCGGGAGCACCGAGCTCAGGCAGAGCCTCAACCCGCCGTGATTGTGAATCGCACCAAATTCTCACGTGCGGGGGACGCCCCGGCCCCCTCCGACCATCACAACTTACACAGCGCTCCGCGGAACTGCACAGCGCTGCTTTGTTTGCAAAGGGGGAAAAGGAGAGAGAGAGAAAAAAAAAAAAAAAAAAAAAGAGCCCTGCAACTCCTGGACACAGCGGTGCGATGATTTTTGTTCAGGCCGATATTTGGCATTTCTACGTGTCCTACGTATTTAGGAGATTTAGTTGAACATTCTCATTCGTTGTCACAGCGGAATTTACGGCGATTTTTAAGTCCTACAGTCACATTTGGCTGACTTTAAAATAGCAGAAGGATCCCATTATACTGTTCTTTGACCCCATTATATTTACGTTCCCGGCCCTTTGTGATAGCCCCTGGCTGCTCGCTGCTCCTCCCCGAGCGCGGTGCACACGGTGGGCTCTGGGAGCGAGGAGCAGAGGAGTTATCCTCCGAAGCATTTATTTCTGCCCAAGTCGTGAAAGCAGAAGGTTTATTTACAGCTTGTCAATACCTGAAGACGCGGCCCAGCACTTAAGAAATAATAATTAATAATGATAATTCGCGAATAGGGCGGCAATCCCTGGGTGGAAATGCAGATGGCCTCTCGGGCTGCCCTGGAGGTTCCCGAAGCGCTCTCCCATCGGCACAGCTGCCGGTGGGCATCGCTGCTGCATTTCCCACTGAGCGCTCCGCGGTGTGTGTGCCGCGCCGCTGCGGGGGGAAGAGGTCAGGAGGAATTGCGACGGTATTTAAACATCACCGTTCTGTGAAAATAAATCAAACCATCGCGTAAAGGCGAATTTCCAGCGCTACGCGTATTTTTTTTCCCCTCAACGCCGTGATGAAGCACTTCCCTATATTTGAACACGAGTTTACAAAAATGAAAGTATGCGATTTATAGAAAATGGGAATAGGTCTGCAACGGAGTACCACGAATATTCCTTTTCTCTTTATTTTCTTAATGAGGTTTCTACTTCGGACTAGACGGCTTCGGGGCTGGAACACCGCGCAGTGCAGAGTGCAGATCGCGCATTGCACGCTGCTCAGCGTGAAAAGGAGCACGGCTGATTGATGGTGTGTGTGTGTGTGTGTGTGTGCCCGGACACACCACCCCAGAGCCGTGTGTGTGTGTGTGTGTGTGTGCGCGCTCGGCCTGAGCGGGCACCTCCGTGTCCTCCTCCCGGGAAACGTGGGACAGACAGAGGCCTTTCGTCGTGGGCATCCGTGATCGCGGGCAGGGTGACACCGTCCGTAAAATTAACAAAGGAACTCCCTGGCATCTGGGAGCCCCGCACATACAGCCGGGTCAGCACACACACGGATGTACACACACACAACTTTTCACGTAATTGACGCCAGACACCTTTAATTGTTCATTTTAATTCTTTTGGATGGCGTTCACGTTACCGATCCCGGCCGCAAACGGCGGTATCTATCGATCGTAATCCCCCTTGTGCGTGCAAACCCATCCGGAAGCCCCCGGCCCTTCCTGTGCGTGAGCGTGGGGCCCGCGGCCCTTCCTCGGGGTCTCTCGGCGGGGCCGGGGCCGAGCCCGGATGCCCGACCCGGCGCGGGGAGAGGAGGGTGCAGGGAGCGGGCAGAGATGTGCGGGGTGAGGGAGTGCGGGGCTGGGTGCGAGTGTGGGCACGGGGGGACGTTTCCTAGGAGTTCTGCCGCCTTCCTGCCCTTCCACACGGGGCTTCGGCTCCAGCCAGCGGCCGTGGCCGTATACCTTTCAGAACGCGAAGGGTGTGCAGACAGCCGCCGCTGCTTCACGGCGTTTGGTAGCGGCGGAATTACACCAACAGAAATCACGCATTTTGGAAATAACAGCCGGGCTGTCACCGCAGGGTGTGTGTGTGTGTGCCTCTGTGTGTCCCCGCGGGGATTTCAGCAGGGACCGAACCGCCCAGTTCCGTGCAGATAAAGGACCTCGGTACTCATCGCGTTTTGTTAGTGGTGGTGTGTGTGTTTTTATTATTATTTTTTTATTTTTTTGTAACGTCTTCTGAAAAGCTCTCTCGGAGTTCACTGCTCCCTCACTGTTGACTCCATCGCCTTAACCTTAAAGCAGGGGGAGGAGAGCAGCGGGAGGGGGTGGGGGTGTTGGCAGCATATAAGTACATCAGGAGGAATTTTTAAACGCCCGTATTGTCTCTCGCTCTACAAACACCACGAGGGTTTCCGTCCCACGCGGGCAGCGCGTTTCCCCGCGACTCCGTCGCCGCCCCCGGGTCCCTCCCGGCCGGGGCACAGCGCGGAGCCGGGGGCAGAGCCGCGGGCGGGGGGAGCGGCGGAGGCATTGTTCGGCCGCGGTGGGGCCGCGCGGCGCGGGATGCGCCCCGGAGCCTCTCCCGTTCGGGGGCCGCGATGTAATCGGCTCTAGCTCTGGTTTCCTGGATGGGAACGCTGCCCTTAGATTTCAAAGGGAAGAAGTAGACATCGCGGGCCGGGCACACATGGATTAAGTTGAACGGCGGCGATTACATCTGCGCTGAGAGCAACAGTAGTTCGAGGCTGACTTCAAACCTCAGCCCGTGACTCGGAGGCTCTCTGCCATAGACTTCCTCAATTTCCGGATGCGCTGCTCGAAATTCCCGACTCGCTCTCGAATTCCTGCGGCACGGGGGGGATCGCGTGCTTCCCCCTCGCCGAGCCTTTTTCGGGGAGATGATGCCCTTTATTTTGGCTCTACCTGACGGGGTAACGCGACCTCTGCTCACCGTATCGCCAGTCCATGGAGTGGATATTGACAGTCGGGATTGAAGCTTTTTTTTTTTTTTTTTTTTTT